AAAGATGAACATCACTGAAGAGGTGGAAGGTATCAGTTATCGAAAGTTTCTTAAATAAAAAAAAATCATTCATCACCCACAAGGGGTGGAAGGTCTCAGATGTCCAGCCCGCTGAAGCTGGCTCGAAAGAAGCAGCGTTAGCATCTCAAAGAGACAAAGTGACAAGGAGGGACAGGTGAAAAGCAACAGAAACGAAGACACTCGAACAAGAGGTCGCTTACACGGGACGTCGGCCGCCCGCACGAGAGAGACAGAGAAGGGAAATGTAAGGAACCCTACCTACATAATAACTTAGTGTAAGGAATCCTACCTACATGATAACTTAATGCAAGGAATCCTACCTAAATAATAACTCAATGCAAGGAATCCTACCTACATAATAACTTGACCCCACCACTGAGCCCTGCAGTCAGACACCGCGAGCTCAGCGGAAGCGCTCAGAAACAATTTCACTAGGAGCCCGAAATCCCATAGGACTTCTGACGAGCATGCACAGACACGGGTCAGAAGTTCCCTCTGGGGGACAAACTGGTTAATATAAATGTAATCTATAAATGCATTGTAGTGCTAATGATGACAATCAAGCTCAAAGCAGATATTGTCTTCATTTTCAGAATACGTTCGAGCTGGGTTCAAGCCTTTCACCAGGCATGTGTATTTTCTGCCTGTTTGCTTCACCAAACGTAACGGAAGTTCGCGTACTTCGGCAAAAATATGAATTAAAAATCAATAGTTGCGCCACCCAATGCAAGGACTGCAGGGAGCATAACAATTATCGCGGCATATGAGCGTTTGGGCACGGGACAAAATCTGCTGCGCCTTGCAAATTCGTATACCGAGCTAAACACTAGCAAAAAAAATGGCTAAAGCATGAAAGGAAATACCCATTATTACAGAAGATGTTGAGTCTAAGATTATATTCCAGCAAGTCTAAAAGAAAATAAGAGTACAGCCAGAAAGCATCATGAAATATTTTGAATTGGAGAAATTTTTGATCGGTAATGAAAATAATTTTATTATCACAATGGTCGTGACATTTAAACTGGAGACTTAAACAAAACAAACTTTTACCTTGGTAATCTTGGTACTTGTTTGGGACATAGCAGTCCCAGGCCACGATGGATCGCCGCCTCTGATTATCGTTCATCCGCCCTCATTTGGGCCACCTGATGCACGATGCTGTTGCTTGCTTCTCGCCGCTGGTAGTGTTGCAGGGGAGGTCGATCTGGGATTGTGCCCAGGAAAACGTCCAGTTATCTCTTGAAGGTCTCCAGGGTGAACTCCCCATCTCTTAGATCCTTTGCTAGGACGTTGAACAGCCTTGGCCCTGCCACGGAAAGTGATCCTTCCCGCAGAGATTGAAATCTGACTGCGGATCTGTTACGCAATGGGGGGATCTTGCACAGTCTCCCCCTTCTCTCGTTGTGATGTCTCAATCCTGAAGGTCTCGCTCTCGAAGTTTGGCACCATTCCGGTTATCATTTTCCATGTATACAGAATGATATACCTCTCCCGTCTCCTCTGCAGTGAGTACAGACCCAGGCGCCTCAACCTCTCCCAGTAGTTCAACTCTTCCATCCCTCTGATCCTGGAAGTGAAGGTTCGCTGGACACCTTCCAGTTGCCGCACTGCGCCGAGTGTGAACGGGGTCCAGAGTTGGATCCAGTATTCGAGAATTGGAATCACAATTAAGGGCTCTTAAGAGTGTGAACCATTCCAGCTAACAATTCTTTAGTATTTAGACGAGTTTGAAATACTAAAATAGCGCTGCCAATGAAGCAAATTTCTTCAATCTTTGTTCTTAGCCGGGCGACGAGCCCAGAAATAAATTAGTTGGCTATTGCTATAGCTTTGACCAATTTCTCTATAGGCATGTAAGTTTCAATCGCATCGCACGAGAGGATGTGCGTAAAGCAGCAACAGTGCACGACGACTATCTTCTACCAACGAGCGAGCATAAGAGAACCGAAATATGACGGATTTGTCAGCTCATAGAAGGCACGATACTTTTGTAACGCATAAATAAATCAGCGTACAAATATAGGCAGATAATATAATTGAAGATAATATAATCACGATAATTTAAGAAACAGCAACTCAACTGAGTGGCATCGATAAGATCAAAGAATTCATTTCAGTCAAATACATCTAACCTTTAAAGGCAGATATTATCCAACCGATAAAAGCAGTTGGAGGCAAACCATCTGTCAAAAGATGAATCGGTTATCAATATACAGCCAACGAAATCGAGTAACGCGTCTGGCCAAACAGCCAAATTACAGAGCTTGATATGCCGCGTGCTCTGAACCACGCGTTTCCTCCATTACTCCCCTAACATCAGACCGCGTGTTAACATTAAATTATCCCACTGAAATAACGTATAACCAGTTGAATACGAGCGTATTCGCAGAATCATTGTTAAAAAGAGTGCAGTGGCATGCAAGGCTTATTCTCTGCTTACAAATTAAGCAGAGAACGGCTTCAAAACTTTTGAAAATAATCACAAAAAATTCCCTCTTCTGTATATGATTACACGAAAGAAATTTGGAAGCAATCTACACTCAGCTTCTGAAGAAAAAAAAATCTAGTAGTTCCAGAGCTGCCAGCAGTCTCCATGCATGAGACTACGCATTGCTTTGCAAGTTGTGGCTGCCCAACTGCTCACAGGAAACGCGAAAGTCTGACAGCCTCACAAGACCCGAACAAAATAATCACAAGGCGCCAGTAAATAATCAGGATGAAGGTTCGCAATGACTAAGCAAACTCTCTGAACTAACATGAGGCGAACGTCAACATCAAACAACGTACAGATACACTATGTCGTACGGATACTACAGATGAGTTTACACTAGATAAACGAAGGTCATGCCCAAGCAGTCAGTAAGAAGGAAAGCGCAAAGTAGTATGCATTCTATTGTGAAGGAGACGAGTTGTTAAGGAACCACGATTCCCCTGAAATTATGTTGAAGCGTGAAGGTATTCCACCATGTCTCCAAAATTCTATGAAGTTTTAAGCATGGAAACGCAAAGGCTCTTGTTTATATTGCCGTGGAACTCTTCTGCGGCGAGAGTATATGTTCAGTAACGAATATATTGGCTTTATTGCGCTGCCTACTCTAGAATTTTTGTTTCAAATTCGATCAATATAAGCATTGTTTTTGCATTAAATTAAATTAAAATATATAAAATGTTCTAGTCTACTAGTAAGCTCCGCATGAAACTTATGTTTGATTCGTAGAAAAGTCATTATATTTCAGATCTAATTCTCAACTCTTCAGACACGATGGTCATTTCAGAGGAAATCCTATTCATTTCTAAAGAATATTTATAGTTGAAAAGTTTCAATTTTAAACAAATTCTTTTTAGAGTTGAAAAGAATATAAAGAGTTGGAAAGTTTCATGAAGAAACCTTAAAAAAGCAAGAAATTCGGGCTAACCGATATAGCTCACGAAAAATACAACTAATTTACAAAATATATGAGAATTCTTGAGGCGAAGTTATCCACTTTCCTAAACTGCCTCTAGTTCTTTGCCCTAAAATGGCGCGCCGGAAAAATAGCCTGTAATAACGCCCAAAGATTTCCTTCGGCCGCGGTAGCCCTCAGATGACCAGGCAATAAAGCAACAGTTAAGCACAAGCCCCACGACCTCAATTTAGCGAGATAACCAATCCAATAAAGGAGGCAGGAGTTATCCCTCACTTGACATTATCCCATGCAAGAGTAAGTACAGCACTAACCATTGAAGGCTTTTGTTCTAGCGTTGCGATTAGAAATTAACTCACGTAACGGCGACTGTGAACCACTTAGCTCGGCTCAACAGGCGACAGAGAGCTTGGAAGTTCCTTGTTAACTCTCACTCTATGGCCTTACCTGAAAATGCAAATAATGAGAATAATTAGTAAAGAAATCTTGGATAAGATAGGATACGAGTCAGTTATAATATGAATCAACACAAAACAACACAGGTTTAATACTGGTAAACTAACAATAACTCAAAACACACGAGTCAATGAGTAACGTTCACGCGCAACACTCAATTTTTACAAATAGCCAAACAATCAAATTTCCAATACAGCTTCAATAACAGCTGTCGATCAACCGTCGCAGTGCATCATCGATAATAAAAGCATAATCCTGCTGTTTAGCATTAGTACTTGTAAGTTTAAAAGGTAAAACGTCCTCATGTTCATGTTCAGAAGTGTTCTTAATCTAGCATTAGTTTACCTACACCAAAACGAAGATGACAAAGAATTTTCTCGAATTTACAACAAATGGCTTTGTCAGTCGATTTTTCTCTCGAGACGACAGAGACGAACAAATGTTCTAGCTTCTCTAGTCTCAGGTCGTTAAACAACACTAAAAAAGTCAACCTACAGTTGGAGACCGACTGTCGCCCTCCAAACGAAGACCACGTGAGGGCAAAAACATCTGGAAGAAAATAGATTGGAAAACTCGAAATTCACCTGAACGACCAGACAGGCGAATGCCGAACATGAATTCGAACGAAGAAACAGGGACAGAAAATGGATAACAAAATGAAAAGCGCGATAATGAGTAGTAAACACCGTGGTGGCATTCGACTTTTTACCATAATAGTGAGAATACCGAAACCCATACAACAAATCAGATTACACAAGAAGTAATCCGCTCAAATGTGTCAAGCTTTCACTTCGGAATGCAACTGCGCAGGGGGCTGCACCTTTATTTCCAGGAGTCATGAATGCTCGCACAGGCTTACCTATAAGTATGGTGCCTCGACCAACAGTGGTGACAGTGAGGCACAGGGTTACCTATAAGTATGGTGCCTCGACCAACAGTGGTGACAGTGAGGCACAGGCTTACCTATAAGTATGTTGCCTCGACCAGCAGTGGTGACAGTGAGGCACAGGCTTACCTATAAGTATGGTGCCTTGACCAGCAGTGGTGACAGTGAGGCACAGGCTTACCTATAAGTATGGTGCCTCGACCAGCAGTGGTGACAATGAGGCACAGGCTTACCTATAAGTATGGTGCCTCGACCAGCAGTGGTGACTGTCAGTCCTTGGTGACTATGACGCAACGAAACGCCGGACCGTTCGTGGTTAGTACGTCTGTGTGAAGACCGAAGGTTCACGGGAGTGTTAGTGTCAAATTTGTTACTCCAATCCGGCAGTGAGGCACACAAAGCAGGGTCAATTGATGTGAGATCAGCCCTGAAGGCTCCGGCATCCATGCCCAACACGGAGTCGGGTAGAAGGAAGAAAGAATCACACGGCCACGAGTCGTACTCTCGGGGCGAGGGTGGGTAGTTCAGAGGGTCGAGCAGCTCGAGGGAGTTGCGGCGTGCAGCGGCTCCTGATGACTGAGGGGAAGTCGGCCGCTTGCCGGGACTAGCGGAGGCAGCGTGTGTATACAAACGTCGGGGAACTGCCGACACAGAAGCAGAGCGTGGCATGGTGCCCACTTGTCAGCACCACACTAGACTAAACGAACTCTTCCATTGCTATCACTCTAGCGTTTATATTATCTCTCCTGTAACTTCAGTGAGGTGTATCACAGATACGATTCGTCCACCTCTGCTCGCCGTAAACAAATCTGTCCTGGGCGCTGACCTAATATTAACTATCAATAACTTATCACATTTCATATATGTTTTTCATCAATACACAGTATGAAAATTTAATCACTCCTGAAAATAAAGATAAATTGAAGTCAGGACAAATTAGCAATAATTTATAGAGAAAGATCAAGCTCACACAAAATCATGATTACCTGACAAATTAGTTACAGATTGTACAGAACGATCGTATTCAAATATAATCCTGATAACGTAATATTTTCCGCGAGTAATAATGATTTCTCAATTAAGGCTCAGGAAAATCAACAACCAACCGGAAACAACTTCATGATCATATTGCACTAAGTCAGCAATAGAATAAATAATAAGAATAATTATCCTTTTAGCACCCATACTTGAACGCTCAAAAGCTTTTTAAAAAAGTGAAACTGGAATTACAGCAAAGCTCATGCAAAAAAGCATAAATCTTTCTAAAGCATAAGTATCATCACCCGAACTTCTGAAAAAATTGTTTAGTGGATAGTCTTAACAATATACTTAATTTCTGCTTACCAAAGGTAATTTTTTATTGCGATTACGGAAGCGTGAGGGCATGAAAAGAATCTGAAGAAACCATAAACGGGCTCGCAATTATTAATTCAACTGCATTAGATCGGAAGTGGAAGTCAGCGAAATAAATTATCAAATATAGTTAACTATCGGCAACAAACATGATTTGTGGAACGGACAGGAACAGGGCGCGGAAGGGATTCATTAAACGAACATAAATCGACAGGATACTGCACTTTAATGGTGGCCTCCCCCAGCTACTGCTTTCGTTAAGCGCCTGCGATGGCGAGCGGCAATTAACCGAGTTTTCATTGCATATTACAGGGAGCCAAAAAAATGTCCGATACACTCGGCGAAAGAATTAAAACTACATTGAACTTTTCCTTTATTATCATTGTATTACAGCGGTTATCAGTTGCAATTTAGAATACATAGATAAATGCTGAGTTGGGACCCATATCTCACCAAACGCAGCCATCAACTTTAAAGCGTGTAGGAGGCCAAAAACTTCAAATTCAAAGGGTAGCCCCCAAAAAATTTAAACGCCTACTCAAGAGCCCTTGTGATATTCTTAAAATGCCATTTCCCCCATCAAAGTGTTAAACTCAAAGAGAGACAAGATTTCACTTGTTGTTACTGAAAAAATTAATTTATTTGTCGAAATATTACAATTTTTCAGCAAAGCACGATACCATGCGAACAGAACGAGCCACACCAGCGCCCTGTGGAATGTAGAAGCAAAGCTAGAGAGCAAGCAGTGTTGACAAGCCGTAGAGTTCAGGGCAACGGCACAATTGCGAGAACGGCCACGAAGCAAGCAAACAGTCGAGAAGACAAGCTCTCCAGGCTAGTTAACTGCCAACAAAGACACACATTGCTCACATTCGAGCACCAACTGGTATTTGAATAAACATAAGACTCAGGGTAACAACTTTACAGAGCTATTATACTCACAAACAATTGCATCCCTGCTTCATGCAACATGTCCACAGCTGTGAAAGCTTATACTTAAAACCGGATACTAGTACAACTAAAAACTGCAACAATGCTTCGCTCGTATAATCGCAGTTACGTGGACAAGATAAATTGCTATACCTGTAAGTATGGCAATGTATATTTTTCTTTCTTAGGTTCTTCCTCACAGTATCGATCATGCGAGTGAGCTGCAGTCTACTCCAAGAAATGGGGAATATGAAAATTAAGCAGATCTTTAGTACCAGTAGCGCTGAAAGCTTAGTTGTGTTATCAGACCCCTATATTTTGAATTTAATATAGAAACTTAGAGTTTAGCCTCAACAAGAAGAAAGGTGCGAAATTTATAAATGAAGTTATGGCGTAAATTTTGGCAGTGAAGAGAAAGCAGAAATTTGGAAACTCTTGGAGCGTTCCAAGTCAATTTCAATTATGAATCAGAACTGAACAGGTTTACATCATCTCGTTACCAAAAGCACAGGAGCGCCCATTTTTCATTTCCTACAATTTCCTACCTAAACAGTCAAAACATATTAATTCAAAAAATAAAGAATGAATTCCAATTCTCAACTCGACACGACAGAAGCAGCTGTCGCAGCAGAGAACGGTCCGACGACACCAACAGGTAAAGCAGTATTGCCCGGCACTGACCACACCAACAAGTGAACTGAACAGTATTGCCCGGCACTGACGACACCAACAAGTGAACTGAACAGTATTGCCCGGCACTGACGACACCATACGACACCAACAAGTGAACTGAACAGTATTGCCCGGCGCTGACGACACCAACAAGTGAACTGAACAGTATTGCCCGGCACTGACGACAACATGCACCAAAGCCCAATCAATGGCAGCCTGACTGCGATAAACACACCACTGAACACAAGGCCACGACGATCGAACGTCGCGTATAGCGTGACGTCACAAGTATATCACGGTGCTCCAAATGTCATGCGTGAATCTGTCACAACTTTAGCCGTAGACCAAGAGAAGAGAAGCATACTAAGATACATATAAGAGTAGATATAAGATCAATTTGAGAAAATATCCTGCATAGTCCTTAAAGCATTTCCAACGTCTGAGCGTAGATCTTTCGAACATAGCATTCACTCTGCCCACGCAAAAAGTTTGCTTGCTTCGATAAATAAAATCAACAATGACAAGCTAAACCTTCCAACCTCTCTTCACCAAACCTGCTCCTTGAAAAGCATTTCAATAGTTGCACGCATTTAAAATTTTCAATCAGCTTAAGGATTAGAACTCGTTTCTATACCAAGATTCTGACATAGAAAATTAAAATTTAGCTATCGATTTTAGTCACGTATCCGCAATAAAATATTTTTAAAGTCCACGATCAGTGGAGTGTCACGTAGCTTATTGCGGTAACTTTTTGCGGCTGCGCCGGTGAATCTTGGATCGTCGCCGATGGATGTTGACCAGTCACTGTTATATCCGCGACCTCGATCGCTGGTGTATCTTATCGTGTAGAAGAAAAACATTATCGTCTTGAAATTTAAACCGCTAACGTAAATAACCATATTTGCAACGTTCTTCTCCATCGTAATTTGTTAAGGCCACACATATTACCCATGAGGTCTCATCAAGCGTTAGAGAATACAACATAAAAAATAATGTTCATTGTATCCTGTTGTTTTATCTCGAATAAAAATTTTTATTTTCATTTCCGGATGAAAAGAACAATGAAGGATATCAAACTTTCGTTCATTCGATGACTGTATTGAGACTTTAGCCCCCATTCGTGTAACGCCTTGGGCAACCCTACTAGTAAGTGGCTGCACGAAGGAAGTGTGCCACAAGTAGCAGACTTAAAAGTTGGATCCTTCAATTCAATTTTTTCAGTCTCATTTCTTCGGGATTATGGATGAAATTGGAGGAAGTGATATGAAGTGCGACAGGTTTCTGTGAAGGGATTCATTAGTGAGAATAAAGACAATCCTCATATACGGCTGATTGAGCCGCACCACAACACACGACCATGCAACATTCAAAACTTTTCTTTTCCGACATTTTTAAGCGAGAACGATACTCAGTAATTCATCGACTCGGCAGCAATTTTGAGAAAGAAATCCTCAATATCAGCGGGTACAACGCGAGTATGCAGAAAAAATATCTTAAGGGTTGCTTCAAAAAGACTAACTTCTACGTATAAATAATTCACCAACACGAGTAACCAAATCGAGTGGAATAATCTACGGATGAGGGATGATTTATCATAAGCATTAGCAATGACATTATTCATCGAAGAAGAATGTCATTACCATTTATCTTGAAGGTGACATCACATGCAAATTTTCAAATTGGAGAGTACAAGAGAAGAACAAATCTCGGACTCAAAAAGAATATACATTGCAGAATATGTTGATACGCTTGGACAAATTAATGCCAATATTAGTTCAGTCTTAAAAATCGCAAGATACACCAAGTATTTCTAAGGATGCCCCGGAAATTGCGCTATCAAGACACTCGCAATTGCAGGTAATATTGAGGTGACCCACGTGACCTGGTAATGCTATAGCTTCCTGGCTCCGCTTCAGAATATAATACAATGGCTCCTAAGTAAAATGATCATTAGAGATGACGCGAGAGTCAGAATATGACCGAAGTTGTGGCGAAATGGAAAACGAGAGCAGGTGGTAGCCAACCAATTGCAGCGGCTAGTGGGATGAACAAACGACTTCCTCAGCCACGATAAATAAATAAGGTTCATAAATAACTTGATGCCCAACTCGCTGATCGCGCTGTTATGGCTACACCCTCACAATGCACGTAGAGAGAAAATTTGATGAACATTTCCAAATACAGGAACGAGAAAGTCGACAGCGGGCAACCAACAGCGGATACAAGGTTAGCAGGAAATTACTCCGACCCAATTCAATAAGTGATATATACATTATTAAGGCGAGAATGAAAAAGTAACAATAGTGAACAATTTCAATCCAAAATCAGTATTAAAAATATTTGTACAATACGGAACAATTTCTATCCAAAATCAGTATTAAAAATATTTGTAACACATAAAGTCGGCTTCTTTCTGCCCTCACCAAATAAATTATGATTTAAATTGAATACCTAAGCTAGTGTTTAGGTTTTTAGCATCAGATCAATGAACAGAAACAACACTAAAAGAAGAAGAAAATAGGCTACAGTTACATAAAAAAGTTGAGAATATAAGCTGGACTTGCACATGGATTCACTTAGCTTTCTTGTCAAACAGACATCCACTGAGTATGAGGGAATGTAGGTTAAAAAGTATATGAATGAAAAACAATCTACAAAAAGCGCGCATGAATATTAGGAGAGGTGGCTCAAAAAATATGCTAATTGTGAGACCATCACAATCGGCGAGACCGCGAAATTTCATCTACTGCTCGGAATTACCATTTATTGCTTTTGGCTAATGAACCTAATAATCCAATAATAATCCTAACCAAGACACGAGTACCATCAAAAAATTCCAGACAAAATTATTGTTTTATAAGCAAAAACCTAGGTCCACAAAATAAGAACTATCGATAACAAAACATCAATTCCTTAGGAGAGCTTCCCCAAGGTTGACCCTACGA